AGAAAAACAAACTGACCATTCCAAGTTTAGGCGTTTGCCTGAGAGTCAGAAGGAAGATGGGAGAAATAAGGAAATAGAGGAATTCGGTGCCGATATACCTGAAAATTGATGGTTTTAATTCTGACTCCCTTAGGCGGAGGCGATTTTTTATGGGGAATAAATATATCAAATAGCTAAGTGGAATCAGTCAAGAGGGCTACAGTCCATGGCAAGCAATCTGTTAATTGAGAGACTGTTAATGAAAAAGACGTTCTCGAACCAATGTTTTGGGCACTGAATGGCTGGGTCAGTTTGGTGGCCACATCGGGTGGAAGTGGGTAACCTGAACAAGGAAATGTTAAGAGCCACGTCGTGAGAAACTACCACACTAACTCACCGAAAGCCTCAGGGTGACCGCTACCAATGTGTACAAGTACGCGGGCCATAACCGAACTACTCGATGTCTGTAGAACCGTAACCAATAGCCGTATGAAGTCCATGTAGGGTCCTCTCTTCTGAAAAATCCTTTTTAGAGCACCAAGGAAATGTTCCTTTGATGGAACTTGGCAGAACCAAGCAGTACGTACCAGTCGTGTTCTTCAGCCATTTCCGGAACCACGAGTAGGAGAGTACCGTCCCACCGAGCACCAAAAAGGTGTCAACGCCAAGGGTGAAATTCGTGATCCACTTGATTCCAAAAATTGTTTACCATCGACTCTTTGAAATATTCGACATTTTCGAGGTATGCCTAAATAAATAAGTCATTTAATATTCAACAAAACCAAGAAATATAAGGGGAACAAGTTAAACAAGGGTAAATGAAAATTTACAGATACATATTCAGGGCGGAAGTACTGTGTTGGCAAGTGGCGCTACTAACCAAACGCGCGATCCGGGGGATCGAATCTTGGGTCACACGCCGTTCCGGGCCAAACCAAAATTTCCATTCCTCCGGGGTAGGTTATTCGAAACCAGACTTGCCTGCGAGGAAATCTACACCCTCCATATGCATAGCTGTCAATCTGTATGCCTCTAAATGCCCTCAATTAAGTTCTCTTCAACAAATTGATGATTTGATTTTCATATTTTGTGCTGTATAGGTGAGGCAAAGCCAGCTTCCCTTCTCTTCATTGGATTTTAGCGGTTTCTCATAGGATTCAATCGCTCGTCGAGAAGCAGAGCCTTTCCCAAGATCACTGTGAGATTACGGCACTCCAAGGTGTTGGGAACTATTGTAAATCCGATAAGGGGTAGAGCTCTGGTAGGTCGCTTTTCATATCACAAAATATGGAGAAGGATGTAGTCTTGCAAAGGAGGGAAGGTCAACTGCTATTTGTGGGAGGGGCGTGTACTAAAGTGGGCGGCGTGCACACAGCCGGTATGAAAATAGCGTGCACCGCTCATCTGTTAGCACCTATTCGTGGGCACTTCGATGATTTCACCCGATGATCGTCAATCTCTATTTATTAGGAGGAGGATCTATCAAAAAGTGTACCTGAACGAAGATGAATGAGTGTCCGATAAGTGTCCAGACCATGGAGAGAACTCGCATGCCGAACATGCACGTGATACATGACTGAGGATCTTTCGGCAGTTGCACCATTCGTCGCAGATTTTTCTTCGCTGAGAATGCCAACAGAATTTGACTCGACATCGTTCTAAAATCAGTCTCTGTTGGAGAGTTGAGGGTTCAATGTTACGACGGCAAAAGATGTCAAACTCACTTGACGTTTTCTCCTCTCATGTTGTGAAATATGGTGGCCATTATAACGAGCATCAAGAGCAGTAAGTTGAAGGCAAAGTCCGCCACTGGCACGAGTTGTTCGAACCTGAATAAATTGAATATCGGATCTGCTTTCGAAACCCGCTATGGAGACTAGAGGGAAGCTGCAGAAGTACGGTATAAGGAAGTCTTGGAAGACTCAGCAACCCTTGTAACAGAGTACTCGCGTTAGTAGTCAGCCTCAAGTGATGTCTAGTACCAGACTTCAATTGCTACATAAAATCGGTCGCGTCATTGACAGCGTTACATTTATTTTTAGGCACTATCGCAAAATGAGGGGGGGGGGCATACGCTAGGACTAAGTTTGGGAAGGAGCAGAAACATCGCTGGGAAAAAATGCTGACGCAATCTGGAGTCTCTCCTATTCCTCCTAGGGCTCAGTCTCGTTTTTATTGAAAAAGGAGATGTTTACGCGATTCGGAATGTTTTCCCATAACAATGCCCCCGTATCTTGCGATAGCGCCTATTTTTATTTTACCAATGTATTGCCTAGTTCTGTTACAGCTGGTGATCCAAGTAATAGGATCGTTCGATAGCAAATTAGGTCTCCGAACTAATTATATCGCGGCAGGTTCCAAGCGGAGCTTGCACGCATGAAGTAGGTCGTTGCGTTAAGCTTGATATAACGCAACTTCCACGACTATCGTACCACGCCACGCACCACGCCAAAGCAGGGTAGCGTCAGGTATGCGGTTGAGGAAATTTCTATCAATTGAGGATGAGAGCAAGTTGAAGTTCCGTTGCATTAAACACTGCTACAGGTCATGCTTGGCTGTGCAGTAGAAACTAGTTCCTCAGAAGCAGTACCTCAGAGGCACAACCCGGAATATGTTCATGTGGATGAATTCCTTCAGTGAGTAGGATAGAGCTGTTCTCAAAGGTTGTAGAAGCCCGACCTCTATGTTCTCAAGTGTGCAGCAAGGGTGCTAAGCGACCCCTCTCCCCTGAAATCGCGTCCATTTTTTTCTTGTTCGCTGCATGCTGACGTCTGCGCTCTCTCATCCGATGTCCTTTTCGCCTATCCTCTCCTCCGTGATCGATCTCTCATTGCCTGTATGTGGGCAGTCTTCTACATACCGCACTGGACCGTAGGGGGCCAGCGGTGGTACTCAGTTTGGGGAATGAAAGAGCGGACCGCGCCGACGGCAGAACCTACTTGATTGCACACTTATGATACCGCCGGGTCATGCCTGCGGTATCATCTCAAGAGATACTCATATCAAGTTATGCCTATGGTTAATAAGTTGAACTAGCATGTTATCAATCATTTTGTATGAATCCTAGTTCTATTAGGAGTTATGGGTTGCGGATCTACAGTACCTGGAGTAACGCTACTGATTATATCATTTTGACTGCTGGGATGTTTCTGCAATAAAGGATAAAGGATAAAGCATTTGCCGTTGATCAATCCCTTTTTGGGATGCGGCACGCACGCATTCTACTTCCATTTGTACATTCGTAGTGGCGTTTGAATGCGATGTGGCCTATACAATGACTTGCGGGGGCCAGCCGATGTACAAGTCAGTGTTTTTATCCTCCCAGACAAGTCTGGTACCAATTAACCGACCCCGGAGGGATGGAAGGCTTGGTTGGCCCGGGCGACTCACGACCCAGGATTTGATCCCCGGACCGCTCGCGTGCCACTTGCCACTACACCACTTCCGCCCTGTAGGCTTAAATTCTCATGTGCCACGAACGTTTTTACTGACGGTGTCAATTGGTGATTTATCACTATAGATGGGTTTTTACTTGAAAAAAAACACAAGCGTGAAGTGCGACGGTCTAGGGAGGAAAGGAGAAAGAACCACTGGAAACACTGCGATTGAAGAACCCTTTTTTTCATAAGTGGTAGGCGTATAGACGTGTTTATGGTGAAACCGCTGAAGAGACAGTGGCCGATGAGGAGAGACAAAGGACTCAGAAGACGGGCAGCTGACAGAGAGTGAGACGTCAGACACCTCGCGCGTCCATCGCGAGCTTACAATGTGGTGGCGGTCACGGCCGTCATGGAACGTAAATAAAATAGTTAGGTTTGAGTAAAAACATAGAAATTAGAAATTTTTAGGGGAATAATCAAAGAATTAGTTCGACTTCCGTTTCGCACGTGCCCTTAGACGGAAGCCAAACTGGAAAAAATACCCTCCCTCCGTGCTCTTCAGTAGGGAAGGGAGGAAAAAGCGTTGAATGAACATAATTTATATAGTTGGCAATATTTAGACGGCTTAATTGCAACAGTGGCACCATCTAATCTACTAGTCAGAGCCTACCGAATTCAACGCCGCCTAATGTAATAATTGTTCGAAAGGATGGACAAAGACTACAGGCAGAAACTTCCAAGCGCAGCGGAATCAAGAGCTCACCATTGTTTCTTCATGCCTTGATCGAGTACATGACGTAAAATCCATCGGCAAGTCAGCCTCTTCGGGTTTTGTCATCGCTCGCCATTCCTTCAGCAGCTAAAATTTCACACTAAGGTGATGGAGCTGAATGGAATTTGGGTTAAAAGAGTAAAAATCACTGACCTGAACATGATCATCTGCGCAAGGTGTCGGAATACAGATTCCGTAAGCATCTACAGGACTGTCAGTGTCTTCGTGCGCGTAGCAGAAGTGCATCGGATATTCACTCTGAACACTCGCCCTTGCGATTCAGCGTGTAAAACGTGTATGGTTATTTGATTACCTTTGAGTAGATGGTTTCTCCCGCAGAAACGAGGCAACCGTAACCGCGGTAGACCCACCGATCTTGATCTCGGGACAGGAACAGATGTGACGGTCCTAAAGAGTAATCATATGCTGATGGTCTAGAAGCCAAAAAGTTGATAAAAGAGAATAATGGATCTTTGACCCTTGGAGGAATGCCAAGTGGTCTCGTACTCATTTTTTCATGGAACCTCCGGCTTGATGTTTTGGGGCTTCTCCTGTGTCTTTGGGTCAGAACAAAAACCTTGAGCCACGTTCAGCCATCAATTTTCGTTGAGGACTTCATGAGCGTTGGAGAGCACCGAAATATAATTGCCATGTTTCTCTGCAGTTTAAGGAAGTGAAGCCTCCAGCAGCTTTTTAGCGAGGCGAAGGGTTGCAACTAAGGCATCTCGTCAAAAAAGGCAATAATTTCGATATGGTACGCCTACCAGACCTTTGAGATGGGGCCCCACGAGAATCACAGTGTCACTTACCCTTTCCCTCTGGTTGGAAATCGGTAGGAGCAGGCACACGGCTTGAATGATAAACTGACAGCGCTCAATTCTCTTGCTTTCAAGAAGCTGCATCCCGGGCGGAAGTTTTCTTCTCAAGTAATGCGGAAAATGATTGATCGATATCGACCTTCCTTCCTAAATGTTTGCATCTTCCAGATCGACTTCAAAAATTCGTCGAGCAGAAAATTCACACGCGTATTTTAAAAATGCATTTTATTTATAGTGGGACTGAGGGTTGCCGCCAGTCACTTTTGAGGAGGCCATGCATCCGCTCTCAACTCATTCCAAAGGCTTTGTAGTAGTGTCAGCGCGAATATCAAGTCCGTAATGTAGCTTTGAAAACTAGCCAACAAGCCAAGGTTTTTACCCTTGCAAACAAGTTTGGCATCAACTATGTGACCTTGGAAGGTGGGAAGGCCTGGTTAGCCTCATTGCTATAGTTTCGACTTTATGGACCGTCCTGTTGCGATGTGATTCGCCTAGCGCGTGAGTGCGTGTTGCGCCAAACCCGGTCCGGAACCTGAACGACACGAAACTGAGTGTCGTCACCCCCGTCATGATGCAGCTCTACGTAACAGTGCCGCAAAAAGAATGCTATAGAAAACAAAAGCGAGACACTATTTACCCTTCACTGCCCCCCCCCCCCCACATCCCTAAGAGCTGAGTCGTATTTTAATTGAAAATTGTCAGCGGACTAAGAAATTTTGGCTGAGGTTTGTTTCTCGGGGAGTATTACGACCCGTAAAATGGAATAATATTTACGTTTGGCGCAGGAAGCACTGGCACGCCGCGCTACAAGCTCCGGACCCCGTCAAAAGATCTAGAATACTTGAAAGTACCAAATTCTCCGGAAACTTGCGGTCACGGGTAGCTTGACTCGTAATTTGACTCACGTCAGTTCGCTGAGTGTGAGCTTCCAGCCCCCCGCTACAATTGTTGGCCCACTCTTAATGTGTCTGGGCCAGCGCCTGTAGCCCGAGCCTTGAGCGTTTACGCTCTAAACTGACTCAATCCTTACTCATGGAAAAATTTCGATTGAAATCCGTCCTGCTCAGTTTTTGGGGGGTGGGCCAGCAAATGGTAAATAGCGTCAAAAGTAATTCCTTGAGTGAGGCACTCAAAAAAAATTCCGTAAGAATACCTCCGGAACCCTTTTCCTGCACAAAATATATCGAAGAACATACCTGTCCCAAAAGAGTCGAAGTAGTTAATAGTTTGAGTTTCGAGGGTATCATGATCTCGTAAGTGATTCCTGAGGAACCTGAAGTGAGTATTTATGGGTTGAAAACGTTGCTTCGTGGCATCCGTAAAGACACCGTACCTTTCCCAGGCTGTCACGGCATTTCGGGTCGACATCGAGCGATTGGGAACGGTTGATGAATTTCAAAATGAAATCCTCATCGTAGCCTTTGAGAGACGCATATGAGGACACGGTGACGGCGCTCAAGAGGAGAAACGCCCGAAACAGCGTCATAGTCCTAGAAATTACGAATTCATTGATAAGATTGAAACTGCACAAACTGGCACTTAGAACTTATATGCGAACACGAATACGTCTATGCTAACGAGAATCGAAGGAATAGGAATATGCGAACGAAGCGGACACGGTAATGAAAAAATCATTGGAAACACCCTTGGACGTGGGCGGATGTTTTTACCAAAACTTGTTACCTCTGGTACGGTATGGTCGGGAATTCTCAAAAGTGACTAAAAAAGGGCGTGACTACGCCATGCTTGTGGTTCGTTTGTGGCTCCTCATGAGAGGGATGAGATTGCGTCGTGAGACAAGGCAACGATGGGAATTCTTCGAAACCCGTCCCAGCATTTCCGCTCGATGATTCGCTTGGCCACACTAGAGCTGGATCAATTGGGCTCTATCACTTGATCGAATGGAACATGAAGGGCTTTTATAACGGTTTCTATCGAATTCCTACCAAACTGGTCCGTTGCTGTGAGATCACCACCGTGTCGTGAAGGTGCTGAAGCTCCAAACTGTGTCTTTAGGCACTGTTTTGTGTTTTTTAGGTAACCCTGACCTTGAGCCAGCAAACAACTGCCCCGTTTTCTACAATTTATTGGACGGCGCAATTGGTCTTTGTCAAATTAAGCACTTGTAAAAGTCATTCCGAGGTTTGAGTGGTGAAAGCAACTGAAGCCTTGGCTCAAAGGGGTCTGAGATGACTATAAATACCGAAATATTGAATTTTTTTGTGCCGGTTGTGCGAGGTTTATAATTAGAACCTCTTATCAATGGCCTGAAGCTTCGACCATTTTGCCTTTTTCAGATGCCCGAAAGTAGCTCGAAGCTTTTTGATTTTGTACGCTACAGAAAAATTGAACAATTCGACCAATAATGCCGAGGTTCCAACAAGGAATAACATGGAGACTATTATGTAGACTGGTCTATTCCAGTTAGGGGGGGGGCATCATGATGCAGTTTCTCGGTGAACTCGAACATTCCAGCTTTTCACGCATGTCAAGTGACTGCCCTCACCCCCACCCCCTAGACTGGCTACACTCCCCCTGGCTCGGAGTTACCCTAGCTTTCTGGAAAAACTGCATCATGATGCCCCCTAACTGGAAGAGACCCTGAAGACTTCTAACTCATTCTACTTTGCCTTCATCACGAAATATGCCCTTGTCTATCCCTTCCTTGCCCACTACCTGCCCCAGGTAGTCCTTGCCCACTACCTATTTTTCTTGGGGACAAAGGGCTCCAAAAAATCTACCAGAGAGCTGTTTCGAGGTCATTACGATAGCAATCTCAAAAAAGCTGCTATTTTTGGCACCCGGGGTCAGCTGTATACAAAAGAATGACGTCATCCTGAAGAGATGCAAAATTGATAAAAAAAACTTGAGAGATCGCTTTATTTGGGCCGCCCCAACTCCTTGTTCCATAATAGATCAGATAGGGAAACAGCGATGGGAACAGATCCTTCTCGAAAAATTGAATCAATCTTCAAAATCGCTTTGCAAAAACAATCCCAAGGCCGCTATCGGACAAAGTCCGCCGCCCCTAAAGCTATGAGTCATTGGGCGATCACAGGGTCCTCTGTTTGGCCCCCCACAGTTGTAACGTAGTCAGTAATGGAAAGTAATGAAGTGAAACGTAATATGGAGACAAACAAGCCGGTGTAATATAGGCAGTAGTGATTTGCATCAAAAGCGAGTTTTTCGATCGAAAGCAAGGAAAACATCGTTGGACGACGAGATAAGAGAAGATACAATCGCCTTCGCCACATCAGAACATCCTCCTTCTCTTGAAGAGGAACTCGAACCAAAGAACAAACCAAAATCTGGTAAACCACGTCAGTGGTTAGGTTTTTTACCAGGTTGTCCGTCACTTGTGGAAAATGAAAAGAGGATGAAAAACAAGAGAAGTGATCAAACAAAAGGATTCACACAAAGGCTGGACACGAATACTTAAGGGGAATCAATTCAAAGGCAAATCAGCTGTCGGAAGGAACGCCAATTCCTCTTTGCTAATTATCGCTGAGAAATTGCCCTCAAATATAGAACACACAAGTCGGAAAACGAGGAGAAAAAAGCGGGACGGGCGATCTAATTGAGGTGACACTCACTTAGACGAGGTAAGAATGAATGGATTAAGAGCGCCGAGCGAACGAGGACATACCGATATGAGAGCAGGGTCGAGTGAGCAGTAGAAGGCCGCCACAGCCGTCACCGTCAGTCGCGGGAACACTCAACGAGATTCTATCAGATTGTTCGGAGTTCCAGTCCAATGGCGCATCCACACAACAATTCAGGTGAAATCGTCAAGTCGCAACTATTGCTAGGCATCGAGTTACTGCACTATAGGCTTATTTTCAGCTTGTGTTTGTCATTTTCAAAAGAAAAAATCAATCTTCAAAGCTATGACACAAGCGTGGCGTCCTCCTAAAGTGACAGATGAGCGCGTCTAGAAAGTGATTGGCATATCAAAGAGCCTTCGGAAGAAAAAGAAGGCTGTTGAAGGCGGTGTTCTTTTTTTCGCCATCGTGACAATAGCGGAATTCCATTCAAAGAAGTTAATGCACTATTTGGAGAATGTACGACTTCTCCGCCTTAAGCCAGTGAAAACAGCTGCAAAAGGAAATCCATCAATGTTTTCAGGTACTTTTCTCAGCGCCCTCGCTTGTCCATAAA